AGAAAGCCTGGGTCAAACTTGTCACCCCTTGAATGGTGCTGACACCGGATTGCCAGTCCCAGCCATCCATCCTGCTGGGTGCTGGGGAGACCACAGAACTGCAAGATGGCCTTCTGACATGTAAAATTGAGTGGGTCCTGAGCCTCTGGTTTGCTGACTGGAGTACCTGAGCATCCTTAGGGATTGATTGACCCTTAGGATAAAGTGTCACTTTGGGTTTTTAAAGAAAATCTTTGGTGCTTGAACCACAGAGGCACCATTTATTTTATTCTTACTTCATTCTTCACTCACAGATCTACACTTGTATAGCTTGTTTATTTTCTAAAAGGATTTGAGAAAACACGTGTTTATATACAATACTAGTAAATAAAATAGAAAGAGGACATGCAGTTGAACAACACAGTTGATGCAGTTGAGTTTCCTGGCAGCAAGGGCAAAAAGAGAAATAATCCCTCATGTTAATTCAAAGCATTAATGACATAAAGGCAAAGCATTTCCTCAATGCATATTCTAAAATGAGATCTTTGTAGGGCTTTGTTAGACAGAGGATCCTGACTGATACTTAGATATATTGTGTAGGAAGCATACTGAAACCAGGCGTTTTTGGATGCTGGGTAGAATGATGAATTAGAAATGGTCTCTGCTTTCAGATAATATAGTCTATTGTGAGAGACAGGCAGTTAGGTCACTATCTGCCACTCGGGATCATAAATGGGAGGATAGAGGAAGTGCTGCTCTGTGGGGAAGGTGGGCAGGGCGGCCTTACAGAGTAAAATGCCGTGTTTATAAATACGTACTTTTTTTTCTAATTTTGGTAATTTTTTCTTTTTAGAGAGAGCATGAGCGGGGGGGGGGGTGGTGGTGGTGGAGGGGATGGGTTGGGGGAGAGGGGTAGAGAGAGAATCTTGAGGCACCAGACCCAGCAATGGAGCCCGACCGGGGGCTCGATCTCACAACCCTGAAATCATGACCTGAGCCAAAAACAAGAGTCAGACAGTTAACCATCTGAGTCACCCAGGTGCCTCAAATTTATGTGATTTTTTCTGATTATAAAGTAATACACTGCATTATAGAAAATTAGGGCAGTATAAAAGAGAATAAAAGCTTTCATAGTTCTTCCATCTATAGATAACCGCTATTCTTTGGTGTGTATCTATTTTCATACACACACACTTAATATATTTAACAAAAAAGCAAAATGGGATGCTATTATATTTTACTATTTTGTAGCCAAATGAATGGCACATGAATGGGGCTTTGAAGTATGAGTTGGAGATGACCAAGTAGAGAAAGTGGTGTGCGTGCCAGGCTGACTGGAGTTAGGCAGCCAGGCTCCAGGGGGATGGGTGAAACACCACATTTCATTTCACAACTCCAGGGGGCGTCATTCCCATGGTAACAAAGAATGTTGCCCCCCCCCCCCCACTCACCCCCGCCCCTGGGTTGTCAACCCAGCAGCCTTGGGTTTGTTTTTTTTTCACTTATCAGTGTAATGGGAGTGGTTTTCTTTGTTAATCTGATACTTCATTGTTTTTTTGTAACAATTTCATCAGGATATAATTTACTTACCATACAAATCACCCCTTTAAAGTGTACAATTCAATGATTTTAGTATATTCACAGAGTTATGCACCCATCACAATTAATTTTAGACATTTTTGTCACCCCAGAAAGAAACCCTATACCCATTAGTAGTCACCCCCCATTCCTTATCCCCCCCAACCTCTGGCAACAATTCGTCTGCTTTCTGTCTCTATGGATTGACCCATTCTAGAGGTTCCACATAAATAGAATCATGCGTATGCGGTCTTTTGTAACTAGCTTCTTTTGCTCAGCATATTTTCAGAGTTTACCCAGGTTGTAGCATGTGTCAACTTCATTCAATAATTATCATTGCTAAATAATATTCCATTGTATAGAAAGACCACATTCGCCTGTCCATTCTTCAGTTGATGGATGTTTGGGTTGTCTCCACTCTTTGGCCCTTAGGTATAAGGCTACTATGAGCATTCATGTGTAAGTTTCATGTGGACATCCATTTTCAGTTCCCTTGGCTGTATCCCTAGGACTGGAATTTCTGGGTCATTTGGGAACTCTGTGTTTCACCTTTTGAGGAACTCTACCAGATTGTTTTCCAAGGGAGTTGTACCATGTTGCATTCCCACCAGCAGTGTGCTAGGATTTGATTTCTCCCACATCCTCTCCAGCACTTCGTATTGTTCATCTTATTGTTTATAGCCATCCAGTGGTTATAAAATGGTATCCCACTGTGGTTTTGACTTGCACATCCCTGATGGCTAATGATTATCATCTTTGGAGTGATGTCTGTCCTCATCCTCCCATCTTTAAATTGGGTTGTCTTTTTATTGTTGAGTTGATAGAGTTCTTTATATAGTTTTGATGTTAAGTCCCTTATCAGATATATGATTTGCAAATATTTTTCCTGTTCTGTGGCTTGTCATTTCACTTTCTTGATGATGTTCTTTGAAGCATAAAAGTTTAATTTAACTTTTGTTGCTTGTGCTTTAGGTGTCATATCTAATACCACTTGATTTTTAATGCATGATCATACTCCTTGGAATGGGTGTAACATAATGGGATGATTATTTGATTCTCACTTGCATAAAGTCATGTGTTTTAAATGCCCCCTCCCCCCCCCACTGATGTCTGTACTCTGGATGGCTGCAGTTAGACCACAGACCACATTTTGTCCCATCCTGTAGCCTTTATAAACACTTCATTGTTCCATATGCTGTTTTTCTCCCCCACGAATGTGTCTGGCTGCACTCAGACCTCTGCAGAGTCATTGGCAAGGAGCACAAGTCTCCAAGGAGCGCAGCCTCAGGTGTCCCTTGTCCTCAGGTCATCGCTAAAGGTTGCACTAAGGCACCCTTGCAGGACCACGTCGCCATCTGCTGGTAGAAATGGGCAAGTGCGATGCCGGAACCGGGAAGATGGCTCAACTGCAGATGGTCAAGGACCTCAGGCTAATTCTTTTCACGCGGGCCTACCTACTCCTGTTGCTTTGAAGGTCTTCCCGCCTTGGGAGGTAGTGTTTAAATATTAAACCCCTTCCTAAAACGGAATCTGTTTTTCCGTTCTTGTTCCATGGGCGTCGCCTGGTGCGTGGAAAACGTCAGGTAGGAAGCAATACAGTTCCTCAGGTGAGGAGAGGGAGATGAATAGGAACCATTTTTGTACCATACGGGTAATGTTATCTTTGTGTTTGTTGAGTCTCCGACGCTCCAGAATCCTCTCAGGGGTGTCGTGATACCTGCTTCTGCCGGCTCTCCCAGGTCTGTTGCCCCCACTTTGCAGAGTAGAACAGTGAGGCCCTGTAAAGATAAAGAACTGACCTTTGTTTTCTAGAACAGCATGGGCGACAACCTCATTTTTTAAAATGAATGATAAAGGGGTGCCTGGGTGGCTCAGTCGGTTGAGTGTCCGACTTGATTTTGGCTCAGGTCATGATCTCAGGGCCGTGAGATCGAGCCCCACATCAGGCTCCACGCTGAGCATGGAGCCTGCTTACCTGTTTAAGATTCTCTCTCTCTCTGCCCGCCCCCAAAATAAAAAAATAAGTAAAAGATAAATAAATAAAATGAATTGTACAACAGCCAGGGTGTGAAATCAGTACCTAGTATAACGTCATATACTCTCTTTTACTAAGTATTTATTGAATGAATGGAATAAAAAAACTCCTGCATTCCAACTCCTGACCATTTTTACCACACCTAGCTGCTTCTGTCCTAAATGCTGCAGTTATTTCAATAAATATATATAATGGTGTTCAATGAGAGGACACATGTTTATCATTTGTCTTTCAGCCCTTAATAAGGGGAGAATAAAAATGTGATTTGTAAAAAGTGCAGAGAAACCTGTACACACATATTCGTATCAGCACTATTCACAACAGCCAAGAAGTGGCAACAACCCGAACACTCGTCAATAGATGAATGGATAAAAAGAATATGGTCTAGCCCACAATGGAATACTATTCAGCCCCCAAAAGGAATGAAGCACCAACACACAGTACAATATGGATAAACCTCGAGAACATGATGCTAAGGGAAAGAAGCCAGCCACAAAAAGGACACATATTGTATGATTCCATTTATGTGACATGCCCAGAGGAAGCCAATCTGTAGAGACAGAAGGCATGGTTAGTGGTTGCCAGGGGCTGGAGGGAAGGGGGAAGATGAGGAGTGACTGCTAAGGGTTATAGGGTTTCTTTGGGGTGGTGAAAATATTCTCAAGTTGCTTGTGGGAATGGTTGCACAACTCTGAATACACTCAGAATACCACTTGAAATGGGTTTACATTTTATAACATACTATATCCCAATAAAGCGTTTCAATAAAGCTGTTTTTAAAATGTGCACAATAAAGCTTAACACAGGGCTTAGCGTGAGGAGGTTAGGGAATTATTTGTACTGGGGATCCTCACAGAGGAAGAGGAATCCAGTACGGAGAGCTGGGCTCACCAGGTAGACCCAGGCTCAAACCCCAGTCCTTCCCCTGTCTATAGCATTTGAAGCTTGGTTTCCTTCTTTGCAAAAGAGACATGATAATACCCTCCTCACTTTTTTGGGGGGAGGGGTGCGGATTATATTGATCATATATATAAAGTTTCTTGCAAACACCGTGTTCAACAAATACTCATTTCCATCCAACCCTGAGCTGCTATGATTCTGTGGTTTTGAGGCCAGTGAAAGGGCATTCTACTAAGTCCTCTTGCCTTTGGAAGCTTCTAGTGGGCAATGTAGCTGAGTATTTCAAAATGTGAAATGAGGGGTTTGGACTGAACTGAAAGCTTGGTTCACTGCAGGAATCCATGGTTTCCTCATTTAGGTGCCCTTCCTACGTTATGTGTCCACCAGAGTCCATTCTGTTCTACCCTGCAAGATCCTGATCCTGCAAATGATGATCTGTGGGTTTGTGGGCCATGTGCCTCATCCTCTACCATACTTTGAAATGACAGGGCACTTCTACTCACTACAGGTTGTCCCCAGCCCTGCCTTCACCAATTCATTCTGCAGGGGATCGATTTGCAGAGAGGACTCCTAACAAGGGTGAAGCTGGGAGTGTGGCAAGCATCAGAATTTTTCCGACACCCTCTTGAAACAACTTTGTCCTGGATGAATAAGGACCCTTCAGGCTACTCCACATAAGCAATGTGTTGGATAGAGGCAAATGTGCCACCAAGGCAGGGAGAAATATATAAGAGGGCATCTAGAAACATCTCTGCCATCCGCAAACCAACAAGTCACAGTGGTCCTGCCCCCAGGCACCTCAGGACCCAGATGAAGTTGATTCTGGTGGTGATTACCGCGCTCCCTGCATTTGGAAGAGGCTTCCCCCAGTGGGTGATGCCCGATAGAGGGGAATGGATTCTCAGCATGGCATTTTCAGACTGGGTGGTGAGGACTGGGGAAGGAAAAAGGTTTAGGATAAATTGCAGAAGGAGGACTCATCCTGCTGTTCTTACGAAAATGAAATGAAAAGGGAGAAAGATTCTATTGGGTTTTGACATTTCCAAATTCTCACTTCTACAATGGGGAGTAAATTCAGATTCCCTTTTTAAAAAATAAAAAGCCTTCATTTGGGGTTTAATGCTAATAAGTATAATGAGGGTATGGGAGAGGCAGCTGCCAAGCTAAGAACCAGGAATGGGGAAGTGGGATTCAGACTCAGCCTCTACATCTCCTCTTCCACGTGATCCCTCAGACCATGATGCAGTGGCGTTAGGGCTGATGTGACTTAAAATGAAGGTAGTCTGCACTTTTTCTCGGGCTCTCACCCACCTTTTGGCGACAACATGCACATGTCATGGCTGAACACTGCCCTTGAGTCTGCTGTGGAAGTATGGAGGTTTTCTTCCCCATGTGTGTTTGCTGGTGCTTGTGTTTTGGCCTAGGGTGCTGAGTCATGGAAATCTCATTGATGGCATAGACATCTGGAGATGGATGGATGCCCCACCATGGTTGGAAGATTATGGTTTGGCAGATGTGAAGAGGTGACAAAGTACAGTGGTCAGCAAACTTCTACTGTAAACGGCCAGATAGTAAATATTTTCAGCTTTGAAGGTTGTACGGTCTCTGTTGCAACTGCTTAAACTCTGCTGTTGCGGCAGGTAGTATGTACACCAATGAACATGGCTATGTTACAATAAAACTTTATTTACAGAGACAGGTCGAGGGCCTGATTCAGCCTGTAGGCCAGAGGTGCCAACCTCTGGCTTAGTGGACCACCTTAATTGCTCCAACTCCTTTCTTAGTGTTGTCCCTTATTTTAGAGACAAGGTTCTAGAAAAGCTGGACTGTTTTCCTCAGTGCTCCCGGAAATGTTAAAATCATGAAAGGCCACCTTCAGAGAGAAGGACGTCAACTGAGCGGAAACAGCAGGAATTTGGAGTTTTAAACCTACAGCAGATGCTGAGAAATGAAGATTCTGCTGTCTTCCCATTGTCCCTCAACGGAAGGCTGGGTGTTTTAATTAGCTAATGTTGGCAAATTGCTTTGAAGAAAATTGTAAAGTGTTTCGTGCTACAAGTGCCAAGAATCCCAATTAGCTTTCCTTAAAGGTACCACCTGGAAGTGTGATACTTTGTTGCTCGAGGTCCAAGGCAGCAAGAATAACCTGCAGATCAAAAACCGGTTTTTAAGCAAACATAACTGAATATAAATGGATCTTTGCATCGACGTCACATTTTCTTCCTTCTGCCTAATCTTGTTCCTAGCAGCTGGGATATTAAACCCCGTAAATGGAGGGGTGTGTGTGTGTGTGTGTGTGTGTTTTCCAAGAGAGCTGGGTGGCGACGGGGACATGAAACACATTAACCCATCCATGTGTTGCTGCCGACGTTGCCTTTTGGATTTTTGGCTTGTGCCCCAGCGGCCCTGCCCTGGCGTGTCAAGGTTACAGACGGGAGGTGGCTGGCAGTCACTCAGTCATAAAGCAGGGCTGGCTCTCAGGTACCCCAGTCCAGGAGAGATGTGTGCATGCTCCACCGCTCTTAACAGCTGGGTAATGAATGTGCTTCCAACATCCCTGTTTCCTGTGGTGGCAGCGGCCACAGCAGCGGCATCTGATCTGTGTCACCATCAGAAGCAAGTGAGATGTAGTTAATATGGACCTTAGCCACCGACGTGCATTGATTTGGAATCTCCGGGCTCTGATGAAGTCCCTGCTAAACTGGTCAGCCGGCCTGGGTGAGAGGAGGCAGCAGGGGATGCGGGAGGGTGTTAGGGTTAGGGCAGGGGTCCTCAGCCTCAGCACTGCTGACTTTGGGGCCCGGATGAGTCTGTGAGCATGTGATGTGGGGCAGGGGCTGTCTGGTGCCTTGTAGCATGCTGACGCCTACCCACTAGATGCCAGCAGCAGCCCTCGTTCCCAGTGGTGATGACCAAAAACTGTCTCCAGATGTGGCCTCATATCCCCCGAGGGGACAGTCACTCCTCATTGAGAAGCATTGGGTTAAGGGGAGGGCTAGGAGTCCTATTTTTCAGGGAGACCCTTGGAGCTGAGACCCAATAGAAAGTGGGCTCCAGGCATCACTCCTAACTCTTCCCTGTGTCTCACACCCTCGTCTCATCCACTAGCAAACCCTGCCTTGACCCCATGTTGTGAACTGACCACCTCTTGCCATCCATCCTCTCCTGCTCTCGTTCAAGTCCCCACATCTTGTCTAGACACTGCATGTCTAGCCTCCCAGTGGCCCCCTGCTCCCCATTGCCCCCCACAGATGGTTCTCCACCCAGTGCCCAGAGGGAGCCATGGGAAGGGTCAGTGAGAGACCTCCCAGTCCCGCTGGGAACCCCTGGCTCCATGGCACTTCTGCAGAAATCCTCCTCCTCCCTGGCGGTGTGCCCCACATGCGTACGCCTCTCCCACCTCTGCACCTGGCCTTCACTCCCCAGTCTCTGCTCAGATGTCCCTCTCCAGAGGCCTGCCCCGACCCCAGCTTGAAGAGCACACCTCTGTCTTCTCTGGCCCGGGGGTCCTCAGCCTCAGCACTAGTGACATTAGGGGGCAAATGGAAAAATGTCTTCAGACATTGCCAGTGTCCCCTGAGGGGCGACATTGCCCTGGCTGAGAACCACTGCCCTCCTACTCCTGCTTTATTTTTCTTCACAGGACTCTGATAGGACATCCAGTTCGTCTTCTTCACGGGAAGGCAAGCTTTGTGAAGAAAGCAGAGACTTAGATTTGTCCCCTGCTGTCCTTCCAGGGCACAGAATAGAGCTTGGTGCAGAGTAGGTGCTTAATAAATGTGTCGAATGTTATGAAATTCGTACTTCTAAACAGTCAGTGGGGCAATGGGGTCATGGATTTGGGGCAGAACTGGGCCTACAGAGTGTGTTTTACTGGTCCTAGACACCGAAATTCTGTGCCCTGGATGCCTGCAAAGTCCTTAAAGCACAGAGAAGCCTTCGGGAAAGCTAGGCTAGGGGTCTTGGGAAAGGGTAGCCCCAGGGCCCCTCCCCGAAGTGCTTACCAGGCAGGTGAGAGGCAAAGGCAGGACCCGCAGGTGCCCAGGTGAGCCGGGGGAGCACACATGGGGAGACACAAGGCTCTGTTAAGAGGGAACTGCCTCTGGCCTGCAAGCATTTGCAGACTGAAGGATTCGGGTGGCCTGGAGATGGAGAGAACATTCTAACGTCCATTTGTGGGTGCGTTGGGGATTTCCTTTGTGGTTGCAGGTAATACCTAGAGCTTGATCGATGAAGATGGGATCCCCCCTTCATTCCCCTCTCCCACATCACTAAGACATCTGAAGGGACAGCTGCGACATAGTGTGCTGAGCCCCGGGAACACAGGCGCGCACCAGGGCTGGGGGCTGGGCCCACTTGCCGAGCCTCTTCTCTCCCCGTCTGCACCGTGCTGTCCTAGTAGCTCCTGGCGTTTGCATGTCATCTCCCCACCCTTGCTCCCCGGCGGAGCAAGGTGGAGTACTGTAAAGTGTCATGATCCAGAGAAATCGGACTTCAGATAGGGTCCTCCCCTCGTTGTATGACTTTGGGCAGAGTGACTTTTCTAAAACTCAGTTTGCTGATCTGTACAATGGGGATAATACCTCGCTCTCTGGTTTGTTGTGAGGATTCGATGAGGTGAACGGCGCTCCTCACCGGGCCTGGCCAATGTCTGTGTTCCTGAGGGGTTGCCCTTATTATCCCCTCCTTATCCAGGTTCCCATATGGCTGGTTCGGCCCCTGGCCTGGCTCACCTGCCTCCTCCCTTTTGCTCCTGCAGCGGCATCAAGCGTCCCAACTATCACCCCCTCTCCCTCCCTTCCCAGCATGCGCATCTCATCACTGTGATTACACCGTATTAGCCACCGTGATTGTTCCATGCCTTGGCACCTCATTACTGAAATAAAGTTAGCATTAATGGGAGTCCTGCAGCTAATCCCTCTGCTCACCTCTCCTGAAAATGCATTCCGGTGATTAGCAGGAGAGACACATGCATATATTCATTTTTAAAACTGTTCCCTCCTCCCCCTCTCCCTGCGTATCTACTCACAGTCACGCCAGAGATGGAGGCCAGGGGGCCTTTTAGCTGCCAACAGGCAGAGGAGGTGGTGAAATCGTCCTGAACTGGGGCAGGGCCGGGCTTTGGGAGCAGCCAACATTCCCCCCTAGCAAAAGGAACATATCTGTTTCCTTTGGGTGGGTGCAGTTAAAAACAAAACCAACCCACAAAACAAAAGGCCAGGGAGTGAGGCAGAGCAGTGGGCGGGGGGGGGGGGGGGGGTGTCCCAGCCTTGCCGCCTTCCAGCTCTGAGACCTTGGTGAAATTGCTTTAACCTTCCTGATGAGCAGTTTCCTCCACTGGTGAAGGATTATGTCGGATAAGGACCGGGCGAGAGCCCAGCACCGCTGCCTCCAGTGCCTTGGTGGTTCACTCCCTTCCCCTGGACTAGAGAGCCAGAGGTCAGGTGTGTCCCCCGGGCTCCTCCCAGCCCCCAGTGCTGGGACAGCCTGTTTCCTTTTCCACTCAGGAGCCGCCAGGGCCGTCGTCCCACGCCAGGCACCCAGAAGGCTAACTGCTCAGAGGTGTAGTGTCATTCATAAGGACTCCGGTGAAACACTCCACCGGCCCCCCCGGGGAGTTGGCACACCTGCAGACAATCAGATGATCCTTCCCCAGAGGGCTCGGGGGCTGGCTCCCAGGTCCACTCAGGTAACCAGCAGCTCGCCTTCCGTGCATCCCCTCTGTCCTGATGAAACCGGGGTGGTGGGGGGGGCATGGCCCTCGTGCAGCTACCTCTCGGCAGCCAAGAAAGGGAGCAGAACAGCAGAGGGAGGTGTGGGGCTGTAATGAGATTCACAGGCGCCCTTACTCACCCTGCGCGTCAAGGAGACATTTTCAAAAAGGTTTGACACAGCATCCTTGCAGAGCCCTTTGCCAAAATGCAAGGTGGAGGCCCCTGGAGGACTTTAAGCCGGCTTCTGTTAACAGAGCAGTCTGTATGCATATTACAATCACGCTCTCCAATTCCCCATTAAGCAGCTGTTCCCACAAAGAGGGACAATAGCCTAGCCCCACCCCTTTGAGAGCTGATTTCAGTCCTGTCTTTGCCGGTGCCAGTTCTTTGATCAGTTTTCACGGAGGATCGGAGGGCATGTTACAAAGTGCTTTGGGCTGGCTGCCAACAGGCACCTCACTGGAGCATGACAACAGCCCGGCAGTGTCATTGTTGGGAGCGAGACCGCGCGCAGGATGCCTTTTAAAAAATAATTATATTTGAATTTTAAAAGCAATCTTCATATATGTTCGTAGAGTCATTTATATGGAAAACTATGCTGGTTCCTCTACCCTTTTAATATTTGATGTTACGTCAGCTTCCTCCACGGCTGGAATAAGCGTTCTGTGGCACCGTGGGGAGTTTTTGGACTCCTGAGTTAGGAAGGAGCCCGGAGAGGGCCAGTTCCTGTCACTTCTGTCTCCTTTCTTACCACACCCCACCCCCCGCCCCGCACCTCAGCCACATGCTCTGCTCTAAACTGACTGGAGGGGACTGGAGGGGACTTGAGGGGGCAAAGGGGCAGAGGCGTCCAAAATTAATTCAGTGTAGTGGTGGTGGTGTGTTTTTATTTTAATTTTTATTTTTTATTGTGGTAAAACGTACTTAACAGAAAATTTACTATTTTAGCCACTTTTAAACATACACTGGCTTTCAACCCATTCACGACATGATGCAGCCATCACCACTATCCATCTCCAGAACTTTTCATCTTCCCAAACTGACACTCTGACCCCGTGAAGCACTGACTCCCCGTTGCCCCCTCCCCCGGTCCCCGGGCACTCACCCTTCCACTTTCTGCTTCTGTGGACTTGATGACTCCGGGTACCTCATACAATTGGAATCATACAGTATTTGTCCTTCAGTGTGTGATTTCTTTCACTCAGCATAATGTCCTCAAGATTCATCCACGCTGGAATCTGTGTCAGAACATCCTTGCTTTGTAAGGCTGAATAGTATTCCATCGTGTGTGTACACCACCGATCTCTGGGTTGTCTACTGTGCATTGAATCTTACAGGTTGCCCGTCAACCCTGTTAGGTGTTGACTTACCTACCAACGTCTAGTTTAATTCTCACCAGTGCCGTCTGATGGTTGAGAAAAGGAAGCCTGGCAAGATGAGGAACCTCACGTGGCCTAACATGCTATTAATTAGTGGAACTGAGATTGGGTTTTAGGGCTGTCTGACTCTAAAAAATGATTGCTCTCAAATATTGGTGAGTTCCAGGATTGCTCAGGGAATCTGTTAAAAATGAAGATTCCTGGGTCCTGTCTTGAGGTGTTTTGGGTCAGAAGGTCTGGAGTGGGATTCAGGAATTTGTATCTTAACAAGCACCCCACTCTGAAGAGGTTATCCGAGAACCAGGGCTTGCTCGGTATGTCCTAAAACCTCAGGTTTTCACTACTATCTTATTCAGCCTCATTCCTGAGGGAATTGGAGACGGCTTCCCCCCGAAACATTGCATGATAAGAGAAGCAGGAGTTTTCCAGGTAAAGAGGAGTTGGGAGAGACGTAAGCATGGATCCATAAAGAGTTCCTACACAGAACGTGTGTGAGGGCATGCAGTTTGGGCTGCATGTTCAGCTCTGAGCTTCTTAGCAGCCAAAGCAAAGAGTGAAATAGGATTAGCCACAGCTGGAGCCACCTCATAATAGAAAACATGCCACCAGAAGCACAGCTGTCCCGTGCATTTTGGTCTGAGGGCTCCTCACTGAGAAGACCCCGTGCAGCAATGGAGAAGAGCCACAGACACCCCTGAGTCCATACAATAGGACCATCACGGGGCTGTTGCTTGAGGGTGAGCCAAGGTGTGATACCAACAAGCAGTTCAGTAAAGACAGACCCGGAGGGGCGCCTGGCTGGCTCAGTCAGTGGAGCGTGCGACTCTTGATCTCGGAGTTGTGAGTTCGAGCCCCACATGGGGCATCGAGATTACTTAGACCCAACAGACGTGGAGAAAATCCTGCCGTTTCAAGCCCGCTTTTCTGCGGGGGTGTAAGAGAGTTCTGTGTGTTCTGAAATGGGTCCTCTGGCTCCTCATCAGCTTGCCGGCCAGGCTCAGCGGCTCCCTTCTGTCTGGTTCCTGTCCTGAGCCTGCGGGCCTCCCCGCCCGGAAGAGAGGAGCCCAGCGGGGGCCTCTGCCTTAATGACTAGGATGCTTGTCTTTAAAGTTTGCAAAGCCCTCGGCCTCCAACCAGTGGCCACTTTGGCCCTTCTTCCTTCGGCATGCAAGAAAAGCTGCTGTCTGGTTGAGTGAGTTCTGCTATAAATCAAAGTGTCACCACTTAGCCAGTAGAAGTGATTTAATTAATCCGCTGTGTTGTCCCCTGAGCATCACTCCACCTGACTGCTAATCAACTTCCATCAGCAGGAGGAAAATACAGGCCCCCTTTTTCTGAACCGTGTTGCATGAGATGAAGGAGGAGAAGGAGGGGGAGAAAAAGTTAATTGCAGCAGGGGAGCTCAAACTGTCACAAGAAAAAAAGTCTCTTGTCTGGCGTCTGCCTCTTTATACGCCGCTGTCCTTGTCTTGGGTGAGCTGCAGGAGAGGACCACGTTTTAGTGCTATTAATATAGACATTATCTATTGTCCATATCTGTTTATCAGAAATAATATCTTGCCTGGAAACCCATGACAGATACTGCAAAGAGGAACCGTTCTTTTGTCATGCACCCGGTATTTAGACCTTTAAAACACACACTGCACACACAAAGCCTTCACTGATAATCAGATAAGACTGAAAGTTTATGTATCTATCTCCTGGGCATGGGAACGTTTTTTTGACAAATGACCACCCCAGTTTCTGTCACATGCAGGCGACGTAAAGGCAAGCCCTTGCTCTGCAATGTAATTAGGCAGATCTCGTTAATGCCATCATGCTTTGAAGATGAAACAGGCTATGGTCATGAGAATTCCAAGCCCAGGATATTCAAGAGCTTCTTTAAGAGCCTCAGATTTCCTTGAAATCTTTTCATGAATGGTAGGTAGCATGGCTCCATTTTACAGATAGGAGAAAGTGAGGCAAACAAGGGTCAGGGAAATCTCCAGAAAGATGCGGAGTGTTCAGAGTGTTCCGAAGGTGGGATCCATCCCATGTTGGAGGGAGAGGAGTGTGCCCAAGATTCTGTTTTAAAGCATGGGCTTATCTGAAATTGGATTCCTTTCTGATTACTGAGCACTTATTCTATAAAAAGAAATTTATAGAAAGTCTCTTTAGCAGGATGAAGACCAGAAAATCTTTTATCTGATCCAAAAAATGACATCTTGTATCAATTATACATAAACTTTGGTTTTTCCCCACCAGAGAAGGCCGCCCCCCCTCCCCCGCCCCAAGCAAACATGGAGTGTCTGCCCTGCTTATGTGGGTGAGTCATTCTGTCTTTAAAGAGGAGTGGGGGCAGTGTGTGCTTGCCCAGAACACTGTTGCTGCACAGATGTGCTTGGGATCAGAGCTTCTGCTGCACTAAAGTGGATGGATATATATTTTTAAAGGAAAGAGGGCCCTGAGATCTAGTTCTGCGGACTCTGAGAACCCCGGGCATATAAGGACTTCCCTGGCACAACCACACGTGGCCTCTTGATGTGTGCCGCTGGGCCAGGGCCACCCCCAGAATTCTGCATGTGCGACGGGGTGAATGACAGAGTGCCTCTCCGTTATTATGAAGTTGAAATCTGATTCACATGGCTATCTAGGGCAGCCGGAGAGGGAAAGAGCTGGCCAGAGACGCACGTGCGGGGGTGTGTGTGGTCTTGAAATGGGATGAAACGAGATCATAGATACAAAAGCCGGAGCACAGCACTAGGCATGTAGGGAGCTGCTGAGTAAAGGCAGCTTCCTTCGTGTCCAGTGCTTTTCCTTTCCGCCTTCCTTCCCCCCACCCCCATTCTTCCAGTGTTTGACAGCGGGGACCCAGATCCAGCCGTGCCTGCCTCCCTCCCTGTCCCCCAGGCTCAGGGCCCCCTCCCTCCCCACCTGCTCAGCCATCGCAGATGCAGCGAAGCGAAGCACTGCTCCCATGTGGACCTCTCGTTTCAAGGGTTTCCCCCACGGCCATCAAACTGCACTGCAGGGTGACGCCGGGCATGTGGGGGCCAGCCAGGGAGCCCTTTATCGTTGGTTTGTTTATTTTTATACACAATTTGGAAACATCTGTTCTGACATTTTCCGGGGTCGAAGACAGGAAGAGAACAAGGTTGATATTTCTCAGGTGCTAGTGCCTTCCCGCATCGGTAATTAGAAAGCAAAAGGTTCCTGTTGCCTCTCCATTTCATCGTAAACATTTCATTTGAAAGAGAAGGCAGCGTTATTGTGCCCAGGGGTTACATTGTATGCAGACAGGTTCGCATTAAAGGGAAGTCTCCTAAGTAAGAAATGGCACAGCATTATGAAACCCATGGCAAAGGTCTGTGTGACTTTCTTTTAGACAAAAGACCAGCCACTGGGAGCTGGGAGTCCACTGCAGCGCTTGTCTGCTTCCTTGAATTGGAAACATATTTTCTTTTTCTCAGTTAAGCCCCTTCTCTACACGAACATGATAAAGTTCGTGCCCAGAGGTTCATTGAGGGTAGGCGAGCCAGTGTATTGGTTCAGAACCATTTACTGAGCACCTACTCTGTCCAGATTTGCACTAAGTGATAATGAAGACACCACCCAAGCCCTCCTGTAGCATAATTATAATACAAAGTGGTGTGTGCCACCAGGGGAGTGAATTAAGACTCTGGGAATGCAAAGAGGGAGTGAGGAAAGCCTTCAGGAGATGTGTGCCAGGCAGAAAAGGAGGAAGGAGATTAAGGACTGGAAGGAAGAGCTTCTACCTAAACCAAAAGAGGTGACATAAAAGTTGCTGGAACCATCAAACAGCATCAGTGGATAATTATATGCCATATTACGTACAGCACAGTATGCTCACTGCTCTAACGTACATCATCTTACTGATTCCTCCAGCATCCTGCAAAGACTCAGTGGTATTATCCTTGCTCTTCAGGTGGTGTTGGGAGAGACTGCATTGCTTGGCCAAGGTCAAGGCTAACGAGTGGTGAACTGAGATTTCCCACCAGGTCTGTCTGTCTCCTCCCCACCCCCCACACATTCCCCCAGCGGCACACTGCTTGGTATGACCCCAACATACAGGATGAAGCTGCAGAGGGTGAGGGGACGGACTGCAAAGGACTTTGCATGTGGTGTTACGGAGTTCGGACCTTTTTCCTGTAGGCAGTGGGAAACTAGCAGAGGTTTTTAAGTAGATATTGATTCCATTACGGATGGGAGATGGATCGGAGAAATACCCAGTGCCGGACTGCAGCCCAGAACCACGGCTGCTTATCCGATTCAAGTGCTGTCCACCCCCCTTCTGGCCCAGCCTCCAGTATGGCGGCTGCTCGAGTCTCGCACGGGAGCTGGGAAGGAAGCCTTTTTCTTTTCCTTGTCTTTTTTAGCTCAGATAAGCTTTTTCTGTTTTTGCTATAAAGCTCACGTAGGCATATAAGCGTAAAAAAAAATTAAGTGGCATGAGAAAAGGAATGAAAGTAGAAGTCTTCTGACTCCTCACTCCCAGATGTAACCACTGTAACCATTTCTTGTACAGCTTTCCTGAAATTTTGTGTTTTTTTATGTCTATATAAAATGGTTCAACATTCGGAAGGGCTTTTCTCTCTCCCACTGCTGCCCCCAGCCTCTGTGTATTACAAAGTCATCATTTCCTTGTGTTTAGGCAGAGGTGGTTGATGCGCATGCAGACGGATACTGGAACATGTTATTTCCCTTTTTCCTTGAAGAACAAAAGTATGCTATCAACACTGTTCCACTTCTTGCTCTTTTACGTTATGATAATTTTTAAAAGCCCAATGTTTAGATAGTGGTTACCAGGTACCATGAATTCTTCTAAGTGCTTTCTGGGTTTTGTTCCGTTGGATGTTATGACAGGGACACTGTTACGGTCTCCATTCTCTGGGGAGGAAACTGAGGCACAAAGAGATTGAGTAACTTACTGAAGGTCATTCAGTTAGTGAGTTATCCCTGACCTTGGGCTGGAACTGGAATGAGGCAGGAGAGGAGATGCCACTGGTAGTCAGGGCTAGTCTGACGATGTTCTGGGTGTTGCTTGGTTTTGTTTGTTTGTTGTTTTGTTTTGTTTGCACTCACTGGATATCTTTACAGATCAGCACATACAGACTTCTTTCTTCTTTCATGTGGCTGGAGAATACTTAATTTTAGTTGCTTCATCATTTGCCTATTGGTGGTTATTTGGTTGTGTCTTATCTTCTACAAATGCTACTGCAGGTGAAGCATCCTCATATGTACATTGTGGAGTGCTTGAGCAAACGTCTCTGTAGAAGAAGTGGACTTCTAGTCATTTATTCTAGTCCCTGGGTATGCATCCTTTAATATTTCACTAGATACCACTAAATTGGACTCCAAATCACTGCACCCAGTTTGTCCTCCCCAAGAATGCATGAAAGTGCCGATCCCACATCCTCACCCATCCTGGGCATCATCAACCTGTTTAATCTTTGCCAATCTGACTGCTGAAAAACTGGCTCGTTTTAATTCACGTGCATTATAAGCGCATTTTTTTCATGTGTTTATTGGCCACTTATATTTCTTTTATGAACTGGTTTTTGTGTCCTTTGTACATTTTGTGTTTTGGCTTTGTCTTTTTTATAGAGACATATAAGAGCTCTTTGAATACTAAAGAAATGCGTTACAAATATTTTTTAGGTTTATTGTTTGCATTTGTAATTTTTTTCACCATATGGGAGATTTTAATTTCTATGTAGTTAGATATATTAATCTTTTCTTTATGGCTTTGGGTTTTGTGTTTGCCTTTTCCTCCCCATGATTATATATATTTTTAATGACCAATTTTTTTTTCCCTAGCCTTTTATGGCTTTAATTTTTAAATTGAACATTACTCCGTTTAGAATTTATTTTTGTGTAAGGAGTGATAGAGGGGTCCAGCTTAAATTTTTGGCTTTGAGGGGAAACTGTTTAGACTCCTTGGTGCCCAGGCTTCATGGGACTGGGGCAGCCACTTAGCAGGAGGCTGGACACTGGTAGGGAGTGCTCTCAAAGGGAGGGCTGGGGCTGCAGCTGGCTAGGGCCTTGGCTGCCAGGGGCTGCCAGGACCCAGAGCAGCCAGCCTGGGGCACCTGGAGACATGGGGGTGAGCCAAGCACAGAGTCCCAGTCACCAGAGGGAGAGAGGCATATCTGACTTGTCTCCATATTGCAGTGCTTCTCCTGGGCCCCAGCAGCTTGCTAACTGGCCTGTTGTACGGACTGAGCTATTTCTGCCCCCCGCTATGCTGCTGCTTGGGTGCGTGTGACTCTGGGACCTTGAGCTCATTCCTTCACCTTTCTGAGCCAGACCGTCCCCTCTGTGATCACAATGCCTACCTCCATGAGCTGTTTCAAGAGGTTTCTAGAATAAATGGAAAAGTGGGTGCTCTGCAGGTGGAAAGTTGAAACTATCAGCTACCTCTTTGCTACTGTTATTATGTCTTAGATGTGTCCAGCCTGTAATGAATTTAAGTTGTAAGAATTACATTTGATTTCCTTGTGGGACACAGTTTTGTTTTGTTTTTTTTCTTTTTTAACTTGTAGTGAGAAAAGGAAGCTTTCTAAACATTTTTTCTGGGTAGGTTCTTGTACCCCCCTAAAATGTTCGCTGCTATCCCCAAATCTTGGACACTTGGAAAAATAAAAGATGGGCTTGGAATGGGGGAAGGTCTGTGTCAGGTAGCATCAGGTACCTACATAAAACAGACTGGGGAATTCACTTCTGGCTCATTTGGAATAAAGTCCTGGGCACTCAGGCTTTATTTGATCCTGGGACTTTGGTCTCTTTCATGCCTTAGTTTCTCCCACTAAGTTACACAAGAGACCTTATACCAAAGACAAATCAATCTAGAATGGCATGTAGACTAGTGATTGAGAGGATGGTTTCCAGAATCTGACCACCTGACTTCAAACCCCAGCTCTGCCATTTACTGGGTGACTTTGGGCAACTTACATACCTTGCTTGTCACTTCGTGGGGTAGGTGAAAACCTAAGGACCTAAGTACCTGAGTACCTGGGAGCTTAGAACAGAGCCAGGTACACAGCAAGTGCTTAATAAAAGTACCTGTTATCATCTTCAAAGATTTCATTGGAATTGACAGCCTATCACATATTGAGGCGTCTTTGGTCAATAGTCCCATAGTAGGTGCTGTAGGGCCCCGGGGGGGCGGGGGTGGGCGGTTGGCTATTAAAGAAGTTACAAGGATGGTTCTCACAGAAATGAAGATTCACTCTGAGAGGAGAGAGGCTGCAAACACACGTGGGAAGATTGTAGGCCAAGTACTGTAAACGCCTGCACCTGTAGGGAGAGAATAGACAGGCATCATTCAGGAGGGATGCACAATATGTCTGTGAGTAGTAGGTATATGGTTGTGCATATTAAAACATATAGGAATACTTTCTTCTCCACAAAGAAATATGCTTTCTCCATTTGTCCCAAAACTTGCTCAGCTAGATTTTCTCACATTTGGTGGAAGCCTGGCTACAGAGAACTGGTTCTTCATCACGGAAAAATACCAGATGTGAATGATAACTGACCGCCAAGCCTTAGAACCAAGGGGATGAGAGGGGGCCGTGGGGTCTTGGCAACTGGGAGAGGGTGGCCCCATCTCAAAGGACAACTACTTATGGGGCTAGAGCTCCTACATCTTCAATATTTTTATCCTTTTTGATTTTTCAAAAGTTTTTATTATTATTAAAGATTTTTATCCTTTTTTTTTTTTTTTTTTAATGCTGGCTAAAATAATGGGAAGATCATATGCTGGCCCATCACAGCATGCCTGTGGGGATGGATTTGACCTCTAGGTCCCAGGTTTGCAACCTCTGCATGTGGCCTGTCCCATTAGGGTGCATATATGCAAATTAACACACACTGCAGAGTTGTCACATGAAAAAGACTGCCTAGCTCCGCAGTTTCCTTTGTCCAAATTGTTAAAGTATTGTCTCTTCATGAAGTCCCCTGTTCCAACCCATAGGCTACCATGATCCCGCCACATAAACTGCCTTTTCGGAAAAGATAAGATTGAAAGTAAAGTATGTTTTCACACACTCTTATGTCCAAAGAAAGATAGAGAGGGTTTGAAGTCATGGGTGAATCAGTACAGTTGCAATTTTAGATGTTACCTGATTGAGCACACCCATGTTCCCACCACCACTCTTCACAATAGCCCAAAGGTGGAAACTACCCAAATGTCCACCCGTGGTGAATGGATAAGCAAAATGTGGCGTGTCCCTACAACAGAATATTTAGCAATGAGAATGATGTGGCACTGAGCAATGCTCCAACATGGATGGACCTTGAACACATTATGCTAAGCGAGAGCAGCCAACTCCAAAAGACCACATTGTGTGGTTCTATTTACATGAAATATATAGAAGAAGCAAAGCCATAGAGACAGAAAGGAGATTAGTGGTTTCCAGGGGATGGAGGAAAAGGGAACTTGGGTTTAACTGCTATTGGTATGGGGTTTCTTTTAGGGGAGACAAAAATGTTCTAAAATTAGATTGTGGTGATGGTTGCACAACCCTGTGAATATACCAAAAACCATTGAATTGTATGGCATGTGAACGATAGCTCAAGAAGCCATTTAAGGAAAAAGATTATATGATTCATTCTTTTGGTGACCTTTGCCACCTACAGGGACAGTGTCACTGTCATCCTCAAATACAAAGGACGGCGATGATAATTATGACCTATGAAATGCATTGGCAGTTGGTTGCCGTAGGCAAATATAACTGCAGTTCAGATATTGGGTCACTGGACCATTATTATGTTATTTACTAATATTGTGTTCCAAATCCATATTGAGCACTATAAACAGTCAGGTTAATTTTAGGTATGTGAGGACAGGGGAATTTTAAGAATGCCGGTGCCTCTTCCCATAATCTGCCCAGTTCCTGCGAGGGGAAGCCGGGGCCGCTGTGCCACCAGGCCCGAGTCACATGTGAACCCAGAGGATCTTGGCACACGGCCACCGGTCCATCCTGTTTGCTACCAGTTGGAGGTTGTGTGTGTGTTTGTGTGTGTCGGGGGGTAAGTTTTCTCTTTGGCTGTCCATCAGGCCTCGCCTTCACCCTTTTCACCCTCCAACCCCATCCCTCCCAGAGCACTGCAACCCGGCCGTCGGGGTGAACTAAAAGCCCCCGCCATCTCTCTGAGTGCGATTGAAGGAGGGCAACCAGGGAGCAAGACAAGCCCCGCTTCTGACAACAGCCTCCTCTGCTTCCTCTTAGTGGCCTCCCGTTGTCCTCTCGCTCGCTGGCTGTGCGAGTTTTCCCTCCATGGAGGGTGTCCTGTGGAGAAAGGCACCTCTCCCCATCCCTCTTGCCAGCTTCCCTCCCCGCCTCCCAGCACCTTGCCCAGCACTTGGCCTGTTCCCGACTTCATATGTTTTTGTTCCTCCTTCTCTGAACTCTGAGGTCAGCGCCCCTTCCTACGGCTTACCCCGCCCGGTCCGTTGTTTCACTCCGGACTGTCACTTAGCACGCTTCCTGCCTGAGTAGGACAAGACCTTCTAATGAAAGTCCCTCTTCACTCTGGGGGCCCTTGACCATTAATGGCCTCTGGAAGCAGATATTGTCTGACTTCCGGGAGTCTGAAGTGCTTGACCTGCACATAATTACGAAATGACCTACCAGACAAGGAAATGTCTGTTTATGCTCCGTCCCTGCCTGCCCCTCCCACGCTGCTCCCCAAGGGGAGAAGTTTGGCACTGTTGCTTCCCCCATGTCCACTGTGAGTCTTTCCTCTCGCTTCCCGTCCTGTCCCCTCCCCCCGGACCTGCAAGCCAGCCCGGTGGTTAAGAGCACATGGAGTGAATGTTCTTGCTTAGAACGTGGCCGAGCCATGCAGGTGGACGGCCTCCACTCAGCCACACCTGCAGCGGTATCTACTGAGCAAGTGCGACGAGCCAGGCGCTGTGTTACGACGCTGGCTGGAGACCTGTCTGATGCGGTCCTTGCTCTCATGGAACTTATGGTTTAGAGGACACGTACTTAATGACAACTGCGACGAGTGCTTTGATGGAAGAGTTCAGGGCACAAGGAAAGCATTTGATGGGGAGACCTGGCTAGTGCTGCTGGGAGCTTGAGAGGACTAGGGGCCAGTTATTCATTGCCTTGGTGGGCCCTTTTCTCATTAAAAAAATTACCTTTTACATAAACTGCGTTAGTATAAGTCCAGGTTAGATTCATCATTACATAGTCATTATTATAGTCACTTTGTTCTTCTGATTTTCAAAGAAATTGGACATTTTTTCCCATGGCTTCTAAAGGTTATTGTGGACCCCAACAAACAGTACCTGCTGTGTGTAATGGAGAAGTTGGCCCTGGAAAAGGCATCCCTGAAGAGGAGACAACTGAGTTGAGATCTGAAAATAAACAGGAGTTAGTTCAGTGAACTAGGTGTGAAATGAAGTCTAGACAATGGACATAACATATGCAAAAGCCCTGTGGTAGAAGGAACTATCACTTAAAGAGCATCAGTGAGGTATGGTTCAGAGAACAAGGAGAAGCATGGATAAAGTGAAGCTAGAGAGAAAGCAGGACTGTATGGGCCACAAAGAATCATAACCTTTACTCCAGAGCAGTGGGAAATCATTGGTAGGTTTCAAGTAGCAGGTGTTGAATGACTCCTGAGGATATCAATAGGAACAGAGTTGCATTCTATAGGACTGGGTTTCCAAAGCCTCCTGGAAAAAGCCTCCCAATGCTTGCAAGTAAAGGACACACTCTCCAGCCAGCCTGCTGTCCCCAACCCCCACACGAATGCATATAATAATCACACAGCCCAGAATGCTCAAAGGGAACATTTGGCCTCGGTCTGCAACCCCAAGACCCACAGATTCGGGGAAGAAACTAATAAAACATCAACCTTGAATTTCACCCCTGACTCCACCCTCTTTCCTCTACATGTGTACGTACCCCCGAGCTGCACTCATGGTTCACATCATTGTTGGCTGCTGTTTAGTTTGAGGGGTGAGGAAGTGATGGAGGGGGGGCCAGAAAGCTATTTTAGGGAGCCTCAGTTCCTAAAGCATGCTGAGGAATTCATTCATCCTTCCGAATGCCTGTGGTCACACCTGACTCCTGGGGCAGATTCTTTCCTTTTGGCACAGCGGAACTTGGCAGGGGCTACGGCATCTTCTAATTTGTTGTCCTGTTTGGCTTGTTTAACCCCACCCCACCCTTGTTCCTGTTTTGTTTGATTTCCTTCCTCTCTTATGCTGGGATTATTCCGCTTATCGTGGGAGAAAAAGGTGCAGTGTTTCAATCTGTCACCCGGTGTTTGGGTCCCCAAGGTAGCACATGTTGTGACAACGGGCATAGGAGGAGGTGGCCAGTCTTTTCTGTCCCCTTTCTGCACTCCGTACACCTGGGTCTGGGTGCCATTTTCATTTTCCGACGAAATCCATTAGCCTTGTTGGGAGATAGTTGATAATTAGTGGATCAACTAGATATAAACTCCTGCAGGCTCTGGACCATGTCTTGTGTTTATTTGCTCTGTATCCCCACAGCACCCGGGATAAAATAGCATTGGAGGGTCATGTATTGGTTGATTGGACAAATCCAGAATTTCATAGGTGAAATATTTCTTGGATCCCATCCTCCCTCTGCTGCCTCAGGCCCTCGTCATCTGTTTCTTGGGCCTTTGTAATAATTTCTCGTTTCACCTTCCCACCCATTTCCTAGACTTTTCAAACATTTGAGCCCATAACTTCCACTTTTTTGACTTAAGTCAGTTTGGTGGGGCTTCTAACATTCAGGTTTTCCTGGCCTACGTGAGGTTGAAGGTGCAGCCCATTCTCCCCCATCTTCATATCATCAGTATCTTTAACAAGGCCTGGCTCTTAATATACATTTAACAGTGTGTATTGAATGAATGAATGAGTGACAGAATGAAAAGGGAGGACCTACATACCTCTGCCAGCCTCCAGCTCTCTCTAACCCCTGCCAGGATGAATTCATGCAAAATTCTTCTAGCTCGTCATTTACCTGGAGTTACTGCAAAATCTTCCTCAAAGGAGGGATCCAGAAGAGTTGTAACATTAAATGAGTCTGAGGAATGATGCATACTCTTTCCATGTTTTGAGAGTGACCACGTACTTCGGCATTTAAAAGACATCCCGTGTTTAGAAACCTCTTTAGTTCTCTTTAATATGGAATTTCCCCAACTCATCTGACCATGGAACCCTGTTTCTCAGGGGATCTTCCAGAACTAGTCTTCCAGGCCTTGCGAGCTTAATATGTACGCCTCATATCCTTGTTTATAAAATATAATAGCATGCTGCCTGGTGCCTCAGTAGAATTCTCCTAGCCTCTGAAGGTCTGTTTAGATCATCTCTAAGAACAAATGGTCAGTCCACAAAAACATGCATCAGTAGTGCAGACATGCACAGAAGTGGATATCTCTTTGAAGTCCTGATTTCAGTTTCTTTGGATATATACCCAGAAGTAGGATTGCTGGATCATATGGTAGTTCTGTTTTTAATTTAGTGAGGAATCCCCACACTGGCTTTTCATTTTCATAATGGCTGCACCATTTTACATTCCCACCAATAGTGTGCGAGGGTTCTGCATTCTTGCCAACACCTGTTCTTTTCTGTTCTTCTGATAACGGCCATCCTAATGGGTGTGAGATGACACCTCACTGTAGTTTTGATTTGCATTTCTCTTATGATTAGTGATGTTGGGCATGTTTTGATACGCTTTTTGGCCATCTGTATGTCTTTATCGGAGAATTTTCTATTCAAGTCTTTTGCCCATTTTGAAATCTGGTTATTTGGGTTATTTGGTTGTTGAGTTGTAGGAGTTCCTTGTATATTCTGGATATTAACCCCTTATCAGATACATGATTTGCAAATATTTTCTCCCATTCTGTAGGTTGGCTTTTCACTTTCTCGATTGTTTCCCTTGATACACAGAAGTTTTTAAGTTTGATGTAGTCCCATTTGCCTATTTTTGCTTTTGTTGCTTTGGTGTCATATCCATGAAATCACTGCCAAATCCAATGTCTGGAAGCTTTTCCCTTGTGTTTTCTTCTAGGAGTTTTATAGTTTTGGGGCTTACATTTAGGTCTTTAATCCGTGTTAAGTTAATTTTTGTATATGGTGTGAGGTAGGGTTTCAACTTCATACTTTTGCATAGCTGTCCAGTTTCTCCAGCATCACTTGTTGAAGAGACTGTCCTACCCCATTCTGTAGGTAATTACTGATTTTTATACCAAAGCTGAAATGCACAAGGGTAGCAGTGGTAGTAGTGAAAGAGGGCATCTGTCAGCATTATCTGGGCCCTAGTGATGTCTTTCAACTAACTCTCCTCCCCAGATCTGGTTTGTTTGGGAATAGGAAACATGGGGACTGGCCAGGTGAATGTTGGAAAAGCTCCTGGGTGATCTAATAAGTATCCCTCTTATTCTGGTTAAAAACCTAGAACCAACAGAGAAAAGAAATCATCTAATTGGTTAGAATGGTCACTCTGCAATGTAGAGACACCTTGCCCACAGGTGTCCTCTTTCCAGATACTGGATTCTGTTCTTACTGGGTTTTCTTAAAGCAGGGCACACCTGTGAGCCGTTGGAGGCTTGCAGATCCAGCTGCCCAGGTCCTGATGAGGAGGTGTCGGCTGCCCCATATCTGGACAGGCAGGGAAGCATCCCGAACATCTGCCTACAGTCCGCACACCCATCTGGATGGCCATCTCGGGGGAGGGGGGAGGAGGAGCAGCTAGAGGGAGGTGGGGAAGGAAGGACAGACAGCCCTTCGGCGTGGAAGGCAACAAGCACAGATGTTTGCGATGGCAGATGGCAGACTGCAGCAGCGCCGTCCGCAGCAGCCCTGGCCAGCGAGGGGAAAGGAGAGGGAGAGGGAGGCTGGCCAGGCTCCTCTGGAGCCGCCTCTGTGTACATGGTGTGCACATCTGCCCCTCCCCTCCCAAGTATTGATCCGGCAGCAAGGGTATGTAGGCCTCTTGGAGAGCCGGGTCTAGCTGCAGGCTTACGAGTGCTCTTAAACAATTGTTGCCTCGGGGTTGTGCTGCCGTGTTTCTGAATACCCACTTGACCTGCGCCTGCCAGGCTTTCACAGTGGCCACTAAGTGGAGGGAGGCAGCCCCAGGGCATCCAGCATTTCCTCTTGGAAAAGACTGCTCCACAGGCTGCTTAGCCCTTCAGAACCGCAAACCAAGGCCCCTATCAGATCAGGTGGAGGAAGAAAGAGGCCCAGAAATGTGGGCTGAGCAGTCTGGGTGTAATGGAGGTTCTTTTCCTTACTGTCCGTGAAGGCATTACTCCCCGGCAGGCAAAAGAGTGGTGGAGTGAGGGGTGGAGGGGCCGGGAGTTGGGGGTGGGGGTGCTGGAGCAAGGGGATGGCAGATACCACCACCACCCTCGTGTGCTCACGGCCGAGCACCTCTTTCCCCATGAGCTCTGCCGTACTTCAGAATCCTTCTCAACCCGGCTCTTTGGGAGGCTACCACCGGCTGGTTGGGGTGGACGCTGGAGAGGGAGAGCTGCTTTATAGAGTACCAGTCCTGGCGCTGCCTCAGTGGCCTGTGTCTCTGGAGGAGTCCCATTGCCCTTGGGATCTTAGTTGTCCCAGCTGGAAGAAACAGAAAAGCCACTCCACACTGGGCTGAACCTTGAAGAGGCGGGTTGGGAAGCCACAGGGACACCCAGGGGCTGGAGCCCAAGTCTAATGTTCACTGCTCCCGAGTTCTTTCCCAGCCTTAGTGCGGAACCTGGGAAATGGGGGGAGTCATCTACACTACGTTGAAAGGGAAGGTGCAGGGTGGGTGGATGGGCATGCGCCCAATGTCACGGGTGACCAGAGAATCAGAGCAGTGACAATAAAAGCCAACCCCTGATCTGAGCACTCAACCAGTGTTAAGTCCTTCAGCCCTCCCCACCACCCTATGACGTAACCACTAGAATCCTTCCTCTTGGACACGATGAAGCAGACTCAGCCAGGCTGAGTACCTCGTCCACACAGCTGCCCCTACTACTACCACTATTACTGGTGCTGTTGCTGCTACAGGACTGGGATCAGAGCCCCGGCATCCTGGGTTCAAAGTCCATGCCTCTAACTACTGTGTCTTGCTACAAGACAAACAGGAAAACAAACCCATTTTTTTATCCGCCGGACTGACAAACAGTGGGTTTGATACTGTCGAGCCCTGATGAAGCTGCACCTGATTGCCTCCAGGAAGGACCGGGGGGCCAGGATTGAGCCAGAAGTTGGGGGCATTTTCCTCTTGTCCGTGTTTGTTTTGTAGTGCAGAATACAGTTCCATAGTACTTGGGCTCATTAACTCATTGAAGAGAGAAGAGTGAAGAGGGTCAGGGAAGAGAACCAAACATAAAGACAGACAGAAGGTCCTCAGAAGCCAGAACCACCTTGGACATGACCTCTGGGCTGCCAAAACCCAGCCGGCTTTAGGCCTTTGGGGAGCTTATTCTTTTTTCCAGCACGCAGGACTCGCATGTTCCAGGCGCTGTGTCGGGCTCTTTGCCCTTTCCACGCAAGCCCAGGGTGTGCCCTAACGCACCGTCCCCGCCGCCGTCCCCAGTCTGGGTGCCTCTGGGGTACTGAGGTCATGGCCGCAGCCAGGGAGGAGCCGGTTCACCCGTCGGCTCTGATCTGTGATGGGCTGTTCCCCCAGAGCAGCTGCTGCAACAACATTTACTTTGTACAGCAGCCAAGAGAGAGGGAGAGAGGGAGCGCAAGAGCCAGCGAGCACGAGCCTACCCCATTCCAAACCGTTTCTGACAAAATCTGGCACTCCTGGTTCTAATCAAAATGCTGAACTTTGGAACAAATTAACATTCCACAGCCCTCGCAGGGAAAAGGAGAAATTCAGCCGAGACACACTTCAGTTCACAACCACAACAAAAATAGCTTCTCCCGGGGAAGACACACTCTGCTAACAAGGTCACTTTTGTTTTGCTTCCCCTGCCATCTGGCTGAGTGGCACCAGGGGCTGGGTTTGGTACCGGCTCATTCTGCCGAGAGTGGCTGGGAGCCGGGTGGCACTGCAGACGGCTTCTCAGCCTCCTGGCAAAGGGAGCCGGCACAAAGTTACCTTCAGACGTCCCCCAGCAAGCACGCAGATGGAGCCCCGGTTTCACCCAGCCCGACTCTGCTCTGAGCTCCGAGTTTGCAGAAGGTGTGACACCAGCAGACAGCAACAAGCAGGTGGGAATCCGAGGAGAGCGAAAAACACGACAGGATGGGAAAGCTATCTTCGTCTCGAAAAACATTCCAGAACCCGATGTAATGCTCGCTCCGGAGAGTTGGAAGTCTCAGTTCCAGAAGGCGAACAAAGAAGCGTGATTTTGTTTTTGGTTTTGGTTCTTTTCTTTCTTTCTTTCCCTCTCTTCTCTCTCTTTCTCTCTTTCTCTCTTTCTCTCTTTCTCTCTTTCTCTCTTTCTCTCTTTCTCTCTTTCTCTCTTTCTCTCTTTCTTTCTTTCTTTCTTTCTTTCTTTCTTTCTTTCTTTCTTTCTTTCTTTCTTCCTTTCTTCCTTTCTTTCTTCCTTCCTTCCTTCCTTTCTTCCTTTCTTCCTTCCTTCCTTTCTTTCCTTTCTTTTTCTTTTTTTCCTCTTTCCTTGTACTTCCAAGACTCCATCTCTTTCAATTCTCCATCGGGGGTGTTGTGTAACCTTCCTTGACTCAGTTTCCTCATCTGTAGGGTAGAAATCCCCTGTATAAACCCCGGGCAGTGGTTAGGAGTGTGGGAAGAGGTGGTGGCGGTAATTGCCTGGGGGTGCAGTGCTGGCTGGGGCTCTCAGAGAACCGGGGTGCACTCAGACCTTTGTGGCCCAGGAAGACGCTCACGGGGTGGGCCGAGTAAGACCCCTCAACAGCGCTCTGCAGAATTTCACACGACGTGAACAGTCTGCCCACAGGGACTCTGTAAGGTGTTGACCTGGCACCAGAGCGCAGCGTTCAGATGACAAAGACACTGCTGCTTCTACTCTACCAGTGATTTCCAGTCTTTTAAACTAGGAGATTGTGAATCTGCACAAGGGGTTCATGACCCGCTGAAGCCACGCACCTCCTAGGAGGAGGCCAGGGGTCCCCATTCATTAGTAAAGTATACCTTTTGGGAAAACCAACCAACCAACAAAGCTTCTCGTTAGTAAAACAGAGAAGGAATCCTTAAAATGACCAAAAGCCTCCCTACTCTTAAACCAAGGAAAGTAAGTTCATTAGGGCATCTTCTTCAGGCATCCCCCCCACCCCGAAGGAAGATACATAAGGCAACTTCGCTTTCCAGGGGAGTTGAATCTGGGGTGGGAGGTGCGGTGAGGATGGTGAAGGGCCCTGGCTCACCCCAGTGGGTCGCCGCTGCTCCCGGGGAGTCGGGTGAGCAAGGGGAGCCCGGGGTCCCACTGCTGCACAGAGTTCCTGGACCAGAACTGAGCTCTGACATCTGACAAAGGAGTAAAAGGTTGGGAAGAGCCCTGAAGCCATTTGCAAACGTTCATTGGTATTAGGGGTGAGCCCCTCCTGTGCTGCTGGCACACAGGGGTTTGCCAACCCCCCCACTCTGGTTGCACGTGGAAGCCTTTGCACATCAGGGGCAGGCCGCTGCTCCCCTCCGGCTCAGGACCTGTTCAGCTGCTCCCTGCTTTTAGCCTGCCTCTGCCCTCCTGCCTTGGTGGCCCCCCAGATTTCGGGCGAGCTGTTTATTCAGACGTCCTCCAGAAACCTCCTGCTCTTTCATGTCTGTAGAACACATACTTATTGAGTATTAATTGTATGCCAGGCAGTATGCTCGGCTCTTGAGTTATAAAGCAAAGAAGAAAAGAGATGAGGCTCTTGCCCTCAGAGGGCTTTTGGCCTAGTGGGGAGCTAGACATTTAACTCAAACAATGGGATGGGGTGGAATTGGGCCAGAGATTGACTTTCTAGGTAAAGAAATATAGGCCACTGGAACATCTTGAAACACGAGAGAACTCTGGTGCCTCCAGAATTTTCTACCCCAAAGACACATACCGATATCTTATCTCGAAGCTAAGTTTAAAATAGCACTTTACATGACTTTGAGGAAATGAGAGTGTTCTAAATCAAAGACTGCATGAGGGAGTTGCTGATGGAGATTGGGGCCGGTGGCCAAAGCCTCTACAAGGCCCTCCTGGACCCTGCCCCTGGGAGGACTCGGACCCCGCCACAAAGGAAAGGTAGGGACCTCGTGCATTTGGAGGTTTTGGGTCAGGGGAGAGCGAGCAGCACCCCATGAGAGGGGGCAGGAGAGGCCCAATCCAGAGGACAGAATTTCTGAAGCAGGACTCATGGGTCACCCATAGCAGGATTATCTCAGGGACTTGTTGCCAATGCAGAAACCTGGGTCCATCTCAGACTTCCAGAATCAGCATCTCTGGACCAGGAGCTTGGAATCTGCTTTATGGCAAGCACCCAGGGGAATATTTTATGCAAGGGGCTTCACAGTCAGACTTTCTGGATTTTATCCTGAATGCAAGGGAGACCATTGAAGGTCTTGGAAAAAGAAACGATGCAGTCCATTTTAGTAAAAGGCGAAAGATTTATGCGTTTTGAAGAGAAACCTGAGTTGCAGTCCATTTTAAAAACATTGCCCTGCCTCTTGGGTAGCAGCTGAGTGGAGTGGGACACGCGGGGAGGTGGACAGACCATGTGGATGACCAGGCCTGAAGTCTGTCTACTCTGCCTCCCTCATCCTTTTGCTTCCTTGCCAGTAGCCTTGGATAGACTGGCTCCTGACTTTGGTAACCAGTCCCGGGCACTGGCCACATTCTCTCTGGTCATCTAGGCCCTCGTGCCGTGGCTTGCCTGGACCCCAGCGTGGCAGGCGGATTGACCCCGGCCCTCGGATTGTCCACTGCTCCTTTAACGTGTCACACAGTTGCTCACTGTCACCGTAGCAGTGGGTTGCCCAGGGCAATCTCTCACCTCACCTGTCCGGGATGGTTTAGATAGCATTAGGCCCAAGAATGGGGAGGCCCTTTCAGTGATTCTTATGATTCTCTCTGGCCCTGTGAATCTGTAACATGAGCTTAAGTGCTAGGGAATCAGTCAGTGAGACTGTCACCTCTCAATAGGTCACACTCCTCACACCCATCCAGGTGACCCCACCGGGGCTCCTGGTTTGAAGACAGTCTGATGAGGCACCAAGTATCTCAACTCATCCCAGTTGGAGACTGTGCCAAGTGGCTCTTGATTCAGGCTGATGCTTACCAAAACCAGCCTCCTTCTCTCAGGTAAATGACACATTTTTCACTCTCACTGCGTTTTCAAAGAGAGGCTGACAGAGGGAACGTGGCGAATCACAATCAGAGTTTCCTGCCGCAGAGCACACGAGATGAGAATTGATCTCAAACCTTTTACTGTCATCATTTACTGAGTGCTGGAAAGACATACACATAAGTCAGCAGAGAAAAAACTCAGAATCCCGGTCTCTGGCTGCCTGTCAGTAAAACGCCCAGATAATGTTGCCTGCTGAAACAGAGAGCAGGATCAGGCCGCAACCCAGCCAAGCCTCCTTAGGCTCGAGAAGTACCACGGAGATCTTTACCTCTGCCTTCCTTATTCCTTATAATTTACCCACAAGAAACAGTATCCATTTCTAGTGTACTGATCGATGTTTTGACAAATGTCTACACCCAGATAACCATCACCTCAATCAGAGGATAGACTATTTCTATCTCCGGAATCCCTCGCAGCCTCTCTGAGGTCAGTCCCCCTTTCACCTCTGGCCTCAGGCAACCGCTGATGTGCTTTGTGTCACTGTAGTTTTACAATTTTTATGATTTCATATAATGGACTCAGACAGTATGTCCTCTTGTGTCTGGCTGCTCGTGCTCATTTTTGAGATTCAGCCACATCGCTGTAAATATCAGTAGCTTGTTTCCTTTTATTGTGCATAGTTCCCCACAATTTGTTTATCTGTTCACCTGTTGTTGGACATTTGGGCTGTGTCCAGGTTTTGGATATTATGAATAAAGCTATTATTATAAACACTTGTAAAGTCTTTGTATGGACATAATGGTTTCATTTCTCTGGGGCAAATACTTAAAAGCAGCTGTTTTGTATGGTAGGTATATATTTACTTTCTAAGGGACTGCCAGGCCTTTTCCCAAAGTAGATGCACCATGTTTACCTTCCCACCAATAGTGGTAAGAATTCTAGTGGCCTCACATCCTAGCCAACACTTGGTAGTGCCAGTCTTTTAATTTATTTACTAATTTTTTAAAGACTTTATTTATTTATTTGAGAGAGAAAGGGCACAAGCAGGGGGAGGGGCAGACGAAGAGGGAGACAAGCAGACTCCATGCTGTGTGGGGAGCCCAGTGGCGGGGCTGGATCCCAGGACCCTGAGATCATGACCTGAACTGAAACCAAGAGTTGGATGCTTAACTGACTGAGCCACCCAGGAGCCCCAGGTTGTTTTGTTTTTTTTAAAGATTCTATCCATTTACTTGACAGAGAGACACAGGGAGAGAGGGAACACAAGCAGGGGGAGTGGGAGAGGGAGAAGCAGGCTTCCTGCCGAGCAGGGAGCCCGATGTGGGGCTCGATCCCAAGACCCTGGGATTATGACCCGAGCTAAAGGCAGATGCTTAACGACTGAGCCACCCAGGCGCCCCCAGGTTGTTTTGTGAGTAAGTTGTAAGGGTTCTTTATAGATTCTGGCTACAAGTTCTTTGTCAAATATATGTATTTTCTTTCAGTCTGTTGCTTTTTTTTTTTCCTCCCATTTTCTTAACTATGTCTTTAACACAACAAAATTTTTACTTTTGATAAGTTCTGATTTATCATTTTTTTATGGTTTGTGTTTCTTGTGTCTTACCTTAGAAATCTTTGCCTACTCCAAGTTCGTAAAGATTTTCTTCTGTGTTTCACTTACTATGTTATATTTTTAACCTTTACCTTTATGTCTATGATCCATTTCTGGTTAATCTTCGTGTATGTTATGTAGTAAGGTTTGATGTTTATTTTTGCCATGTAGGAATTTGTCCCATCACCATTTGTTGCAAAACTTTTTGTCCTTACCAAATTACTTTGGTGCCTTTGTCAAAAATCCATCAGCCATATACCTATGGGTATATCTCTGAACTCTCTGTGCTGTTCCATTGATCTCTGTCTAGCTTTTCAATCAATGCCCCATGATCAGGTAAGTCCTCCAGCTTTGTTCTTCTCTTTAAAAAATTGCTTTGTCTATTTTAGGGCATTTGCTTTTCCACATACATTTTAGGATGAGCTTGTTTCTCTGTAGATACTCTGTTGG